AGAATGAAGTTTCATTTCCTTGGCTAGTACATCACGGACATTACTATCCCTCTTAATCTCTGTACTATCGGTACGCGTCGCGAAAGAAATTTGGCAGATCCAAGATGACACGATTTTTTTTACCAAAAGATTATTTTATTTAACCAATTACAGGGATGATACAGTAAACGCAAGTTTAAGACTGGAAGATTGGGACATAATTAGAGAGGATAGGTTTTCAATATGATCGCCAGTAGACATCCATTTTAGATCCATTTGTCATTCGCATTCTTGCCTCTCTCCACTGTTTTGTACTAACCATTGTTTATTAAGTGCATGTTACTAATCCATCATTACTATGCCCATGTGGAGAAGTAAGTGTCTCTTTTTCGCGGTTAAGTAGATAAACCCTCTTCCACAAATCTCGCACCAGTAAGTACTTTCACAATGGGATTTCATGTGTTGCGACAATGTCTTCTTGCTGATGAATTTGTCGCCGCAGTGGTCGCAGATAAGCGGCTTATCGTGATAATTAAGATGGATGTCTAATTTATGTTGGCTTCTGAAGCGACTCTGGCAGATATGGCACCTCACTTTGTGACGCAATTGATGGTTGTAGAGAGACATTTTGTTGCGATAAGTCCTGCCGCAAATGTCGCACGGGCTGGGCTCGACTATGTGTCTCTTCATGTGTTCCTTCCGGTCGTTGAACACCTTGAACATCCGGCCACAATGCTTGCACTTGTACTTGAATTCCGTTGAATGCTTGCGGATGAAATGGATCTTCAAGTACTCCTTTGTTTTCGACTTGAAGCCGCAGTGTGCGCAAAAGAAACTCTGCGGAGGTACGGAGAGTACTTGGCTGTGCACTCTCATGTGCTTAATCAGGTTGTAGGTGCGCTTGAAAGATTTGTAGCAAATCTTGCACCTGGAATTGCGCTTGTAGAAGTGGTTTACACGATGTCCACTCAATTGGTATCTCGCTTCGAACTTCCGGTGGCAGATATCGCACGTAAAGCAACTCTCGCCCTCCCCGTTTCTGTACTCACTGATTTTCCTCTCCGTACCTTGGATAATTGTGTCGTCGATTTGCACCTCATACTTAACCAAAGAATGGGCTGAAGTCTCCTCGGTTTTCGGTTTCATAGGAAACAGGTCCAACGGGTCTTGGAGGACGGATCTGAAAATTTGAAAAACGTCAGCAATGGGAGAAACATCAGGTCGGTCGGAAGTCTCTGAAACATCTTTCTCGTATTTCCTACACAAGTCTTTCAGAACATTCTGACCGACCCAGCATATCTTAAATCGTGGAAGGGAACGCTGAAAGTTAAACTTCTTTTTGTTAATCATCGCAATACCCGAAATAGAATGAAGTTTCGTTTGCTTAACTAGGACATGACTTCACATACGTTATTATCCCTGCTGGACCTCTTAATGCCTGCACTAAGGGTATGCTCAGGAAACAAATTTTGTAGATTCAGGGTGAAATGACTTTTGCTACCAAGACACATTTTTTTTTAATTTCTTTGTAATTACAGGGAAGATAAAGTAAATGCAAGTTTAAGATCTTGCGAAGGTTGGGGCGCAATTAGGAGATCGGTAGGATGGTAGTGCGTAAGACGATGCTCCCTCAATTGGCAATTGTCTTTGAACTTCTTATGATAGATGTCACACATAAAGTAACTCTCGTCCTCCTCGTTTCCATTTTCCCTGATTTTCGTATTTACACCTGGACCGATAGTGTCTTCGATTTCCACTTTATCCTTAATAACTGAAGTTTCCGCCTTTTTCGGTTTCGTAGAAAACATGTCCAACTGATCTCGTAGAAGGGACCTAAAATATAAAAAAAAAAACGTCAACAATGGTAGCAACATTAGGTCGGTCGGAAGTTTCTGAAACACTATTTTCACTTTTCCTATATGTGTTTCAATACTTTCTGACCGACCTAGTATACCTTGAACCATGTAATCGAATGCCGAGAGTTAAACACTTTCTAGTCAATGATTTCAATATTATTTAACCGGACCGAAGCTTCATCTGCTTGATTAGTATACACTTCACATACGTTATCATCCACACAGAAGAAAATTCCGCCGATCCAATACGAAATGATCTTTCTTATCAAAACATATTTATTTAATCTCTCCGAGCTACAATGACGATATAATAAATTTATGTTTAGGTCTTTCCGAAGATCGGAACATAATTATAAGACTGGTTTTCAACGAGCCTGAGGGTAAACAACATTTGCACATCGATTTGGCTTTCGCACTCCTTCACCTCCACTGTTTGGTATCAATCCTCGATTACGAAGGGTCCCTGTGAGTAATTAAATGTACTTTTTTGGCACTGAAGGATCTGAATCCCTTTCCGCAGTCCTCGCACCGATAACCATTGTGTTTAAAGTGTATTTTCAAGTGTTCCGTGAAGCGTTTCCTGCTCTTAACTTCTATCCCACAATGATCGCAGATGTAGAGCCTCTTGTGAAGGTCCAGATGCGTGTCCAAATTCCTTTGGCTCTGGAAGTGGCCATGACATACGTGACACTTATAGTCGGTAACGTCGTTGGCTTTGTGACGCCGTCTATGAGTGTAAAGAGACGGTTTGTTCAGACAATGCTTCCCGCAGATTTCGCAGGTGCAGGGCTCGATTTTGTGGCTCCTCATGTGGTACCTGTACTCGTAGTTCACCTTGTACTTTCGCCCGCAAAGCTGGCACTCGTACTTGAAACCCTCCGTGTGCTTGCGGATGTAATGGATCTTTAGGTACGGTTTCGTTTTCGCCTTGTAGTCGCATTGCGTGCAAGAGTATGTCTCCACGTGGTTCGGGTCATGCATCTTCATGTGAGCTGCTCGGGACTCTTCGTGCTTGTAAGCTTTCTTGCAAAGTGAGCACTTGAACGGTCGCTGGTTGCTGTGGACGCGCAGATGTCGGGTCAATTTGTGGATGTTTTGGAAGTTCCGGTGGCAGATCTCGCACCTGAAGCTACCCTCGTCCTTCCGTTGTCTATTCTCACTGAGTATAGTGCTACTGCCTGGGCCAATTGTGTCTTCTATCAGCACTTCGCCCTTAACAAAGGGCTGCCCCGAGGTTACCGGTGCTTTCAGTTTAGCAGCAACCAGGTCCAGAGGGTCTGGTTGGCCCGACCTGAAAATGATAACTACGTCAGCAATGGCAAATATTAAGTCGGTCAGAGATGCTCGATACATTGCTTTCGCTTGTTCCACGCAAAAGTGCTTCAACACGTTCTGATCGACGTGAGTTTAAATTATGGAAGCGAACGCTGAAAGTTAATCCTTTTCTTCTATTATTTAAGTACCTCCGTCGGAATTACGTTTCGTTTACTTGATTGGTACATATCTCACATACGTTACACAACCCCTGTAATATGCAGGACGCGCACGAAATATATTCTGCAGGTCCAGGATTAAATGATTTCTTGTACCAAAATATATTCTTTTATTTTGGGTATTTAGACGAAGGTAGAGTAATTGCATGCACAAGTCTTTAGCAGGGTACACATCTGAACACGAATGCGTACGCGACAACAACCAACATTGTACGAGGCAATTAATGGACATCTTGACGAATTGCATTTGAACAGCCATGAAGTAGTACCTTGGGGTAATAAGGCCCACCATAAATTGAAAGGCTTGTGACACTAAAATATTAAGTATTTTGGGATGGGGAAATGAGCAGATTTATGTTTATTTCAGGTACAAGCTTTAAAAAGAAAATATCATTATAAACAAAGATGTAATTAAATTAATTGTAGGACGGTGCTCCTGGGCTTTGTTATCAGCACGTGGGGTAATAAGGCCCAAGGATGTCGATAGTAGTCCCTGAAGAGTCCTGATAATGCGTCCTTATGTGAGCAGCAAGAAATTCATCGAGCTTGCAAGCCTTCAAGGAAGCTTTGCATTTGTATGCCCACGTGTTGCTGGGTTCATACAAATGCCATTTCAATTTGCATTTGTTTTGGATCTTCTGGTCGCAGATTTAACACTTGAAGCAATTTTTGTTCCTCCACTTTCTACTTCGAGTATCGTGCTCTCATCCGAGACAATTTTGTCTTCAACTTGCACTGCACTGCACTACACTGTTTTCGGTTTCATAGAAATGGGTCTTGTAAGGTGCACCTGAAAATGACAAAAACGTCAACAATGGTAGAATTGTTAGGTCGGTCAGAAGTTTCCGAAACACCTTTCCTATATAAATGTGCTTTAAAACCTGTTACACTGATCCAGTACATTTTATATCATGAAAGTGAACACCGAGGGTTAAAGTTTCTCATCAATTTCTGCAGTCCTTTAATCAGGATTAAACTTAATTTGCATACTTCACATGCTGGACGTTTAAAGTCCCATTTTAACAGGACGCACCCGCGAAACAAATTCTGCAAATTCTAGACCGAATGATCATTGGTATCAAAACATATTTCTTTTTATTTTGAGAATTACAGGGAAGTTACAGTAAATGCAAGTTTAAGGTCTTGGTGAAGATGAGAACGTAATTAAAAGACTGGTTTTCGATATAGTTGCCGTAATCATTTTTAGACATACTTGTCGTTCGCATCCTCGCTTCTAAAATAAATAACATTCTCGTTCCTAAAGTGCATCTTGATTGTGCTTTATGCTCGTGTACATTCTTGGATACAATTACTTCATCCCCCTTCTTGTGTAAAACGAAATCACAGGACCTTCCCTCCCATTACTTTACGTACCACCACATATCATTATCTGTGGTTACACTTCTGCAACCTATAAATCACGGGAGAAAGTATAACATACAGTGAACCATTGCCTTAACAAGAAAGAAGAAATCCTGATCTCTTGGGCATTGTACAAATTCCACGGAAATAAATTCTAAAAAAGAATATCCTGACAAATATCGCGCTGCAAGTGGCAATTTCATCTCGACAATGTCCACCTCCACGGAGAAGCGCGAATGATATTATACTTCATTTAATTATCACTTCTCCGAAGCACCGATTTCGAGAAGAATTACCAACGGAACAAGGATCATTCCGTACTCTTCTTTACAATGATCTTGTCCTCGACTCCGTGAAGAAGATTGGTAATTTTAATAGGAGGAGGTGGCGATCCCGCTCCAGGGTGCTTCCTTCTGTGAAGCATCATCGGCGATCTTTGAGTGAAGCTATCCCCACAGACATCGCAAATGTAAGGCCTCTCTCCAACGTGCGTCAGCAGATGAATCTTCTGGGAGCTGAGGTGCTTGAAGCTTTTCCCACAAATCGCGCAAAGATACGGTTTCTCATCAGAGTGGGTTTTCACGTGTTTGGTCAATCCATACGTGGACTTGAACTCCAATCCGCACTCTTCACAGTCATACTTCTTCTTGTGCAGTTTAGAATGTCTGTTGAGGGTCTTCTGCGTCTTGAAGCGCTTCTTACAGGTGGAGCACTCGAAGTTCTTGATCTGCGTCGTGTGTTTCCTACGTTTGTGGTAGTAAAGGGAGCTTTTACGAGGATAAGACTTCCCACACTCGTCGCAGACACAAGGACCACTATCGTGGTCCTTAACGTGCGCACTGTAGTCCCTCTTGAGCTTAAACAGTTTCCCACATTGTTCACAGCTGAAGTTGAACCCTTCTATGTGCTTTCGGTTGTAGTGATCTTTGATCGAGGTTTGGGTTCTTCCTTTGAAGTCGCAATTAGAGCAGGAATACCAGCTACTTCCACGTTTGTTGTGGATGTTCATGTGCGCTTTTAGTGTCGCCTGGAATTTAAAGGCCTTCGGGCATAGGGTGCACTTCGCCGTTCGGGAATTGCTGTGCTTCAGCATATGTCGCTTTAATATATGCTTATAGTTAAAGTTCTTCTGGCAGATCTCGCAGGTAAATCTCATTTTGGGACGACGTTCGTCCTCTTCGTTCCAGATCGTGTCCGGCTCGATCTTCATTTCTTGCTGCAACGCAAAAGGAACTGCGTTTTCCGTCTTCACGACCAGAAATGTCACGTCCAGCGGGTCGAACGAGCTGATCCTGAAAATGACAGTGACATTAGTATTAATGGAAATTATTACAAACATTTTCTTCTTTTTTTTTTTTTAATACAAGAAGCTGAATTCCAAGATCGGAGGTTCCATTCCTACGTTCTTGATTAAAGCTCAATTATTTAAAATTACCCGCCAACAATTCAAGCTCCTTCGGCCTTATATCGTAGGGATTGTCCAGGAAAACAGTATTTGGTATAAAAAACATATCTTTTATTTCGAGCGCCAGAGTAAAGCTACAACGTGTGGGTTTTCTTCCTGACGAGCATGAACAAGTACTTTAACCCTTTCGGCTCGAATTATCGTAGGACTTTCAGCCTTGGTTATCTCTAATATTCCATTGGGCAAGTAACAATAATGGATGTATTTTACGCAATGTCTCGGTGATTAAATGAGTCACATTACGCGATGTTTATAATCTTAATCTGGGCCGGAAAGGGTTAAACCTTTTACTTGGAAATACTCGTCTTTCTTCAAAAAACATGGTCGTTATCATGTTATCTCAATATCTCAAAATCTCTCGTTCTCTTGGACAGCCTATCTCTTCTTCTTTACATACGCATACGTACGTAGATATGCACGTACAAATGCATAATTATTTACAATATCATCCTCTTGATTGCGCGGAAGAAGAGAACGACTGACATCTAAGAAAATGCACAATATCTTCCGAAAGAAACATCAACTGATCTCCTGAGTTCTGAATTACGATTACTTACAATCGAGTACACCTGTCCGTCGTCTTCATATTCGTACATAATAAAAACGTATAAAATTGTTTTACTGGTACTTTTGGATGACTCCGCCATGTGTATCATCTAATGGGAACAACTCATAGTTTGCCCTAATCTTTAGTAAAAAATAATATTAAGAGCAGAGTCGCCATCAGAAATCTTGATTTGAAAATAATCGTAGCCTCGAGAGAAATTGGAAGCGTTTTTAACAGCTTGTAGATTTCTGGCAGGCAAGATTTAAAAGAAGCGACCGAAGAAACGATGTCTAAAAAATAGTCTGAATTTGTTCAGTTTATAAAAAATCTCCCGGGGTTCACTTGCTTAACGACGTCCCGCTATTAAAAATTATTGCATGCCTTATCGTACGCCGTACACGTATTTTAAACTCTTTAAATATTTTTACAGATAAAAAACATAAAAAAGGTAGTCAATTTACACGAAGCCTTCTTTTCGTTCACACGACAGGCTCTTATTAGCGAAGGGTAGGAGATTCGCTGATTTTTTATGACCGAAGCGATGTCACCGTGGTATTTCTAAAATACACTAGGTAGATTAGAAAATGTCTCGATTACACTTATTAAACCACGGCTGCTGATCAATCCATGGGATCGGCTCCTACTTGGAATTCCCCTTCATAATGATTTTATCCTGAACGCCATGGAGGAGGTTGGTGATCTTGATAGGCGGCGGCGGAGGATGGACTCCAGGATGCTTCCTCCTGTGAAGCATCATCGGGGACCTCTGGGTAAAGCTTTGTCCACAAATGTCACATACGTAAGGTCGTTCTCCAACATGGGTCAACAGGTGGATCTTCTGTGAGCTGAGACATCCAAACGTCTTCCCGCAAATGGCGCAGAGATAGGACTTCTCTCCGGAGTGCGTCCTCAGGTGTTTGGTGAGCCCGTACTTGAACTTGAACTCCATGCCGCACTGCTCGCATACGTACTTCATTTTGTGAAGCTCCTCGTGATTGTTTAGATTCTTCTGGCTCTTGAATCTCTTCCTGCAGATCGTGCACTCGAACTCCTTAATCTTCGTCTTGTGCTTGTAGTGCTTGTGGAAGTATAGGGAACTTTTGCTGGGGTACGAGGTACCGCAAATGTCGCAGACGCAGGACTCCGTGTCGTGGTCCTTCATGTGAGTCGTGTAGTCCGATTGAACCTTGAACATCTTCCCACATTGCTCGCAACTGTAGTTGTAGTCTTCCGTGTGTTTGCGGATGTAGTGGATCTTCAGGTAGGGCTTCGTCCTGGCTTTGAAGTCGCACAAGGAGCAGGCGTGAAGCTGGACCGGCTCGTCGTGGATCTCCATGTGCCTCGCCAAGTAAGCGCTGGTCTTGAACCCTTTGCTGCAAACCGCGCACTTGTGTGGCCTCGAATTACTGTGCTTGAACATGTGACTGGTGAGTTTACTTTTCCGATCGAACTTAATGTAGCAGATCTCACAGGTGTGGCTTTTCTTCCCAGCTCGAGGTCGCCTCTCTCGAAGTCTCTCTTCCTTCCTCTTCCTGAAGTCCAGAGGCGTGTCGTCGAGGTCGTCCTCGTCGTCCCGTTTAAGCTCCAGCTCCTCGTCCTTTACCTGCACCTTGGAGTTGTCTTCTTCCTCCTCCTCGGCCTCCTCCCTAGGTCTAGGCTCCTTCATCATGAAAACGCTCAACGTCTTCGGGATGCGGAAATAGTCCTCGCCTAGCTTTACTGTCAGAAAAGACGGACCGAGGGGGTCTAGAGGATTGTACCTAAAAAAAATCAGAAAATCGTCAGTCGTTCCTTCATGTGAACACTTTGAATGGTGGAGTACTCGTTGATGATAGCAACGGTTGTGGTTGGCTCTACCGGAAAGTACATGCACCGTGTATGATAGCGTGCCGGGAATATCGTTCGTTCTTGGAACGAAGTGCTTGAAAATAAAAGAAAAAATGGCTAGATTTCTAGGGATGAACCGATACCACCAGAGTATCGATAACTACTCGTAGCGAATTACGCACAGCCATAGAAACTAAATCTGCCTCCCATAGAAGGCATGCATTAAATAGGAGACTCTTGCAATCCCTTTATTGATGAAATTACATTAATCATAAATAACTCCTTATCATTGGGTCGAGGAATAATTTTCTATGGCGTTTTCTTATAAAAAAAGGCACAAGAATTAATGCCTCGGCCCAATATAAGTGCATCCAGTGAAGAACTTAGAACTTCCCTCAAATCTACGGTGCCTCTATTGGATTAAGGCCTAATTTTGTGCGGCTCTTATCATTAAATCGGTATAAAAAAACGCACGAACTGCCTTATATAATATTTTTTCATATCATCCAATTCGATACTTTTCACCGATACCAAGGGACGAGAGTGAAAGTATATCGGTGCCAAAAGTACTTAGTATCGGAATAAAAGCATCGAGTTAATACTTGTATCGGTTTATCCCTAACAATATCTCGCTACTCGCTTGTCCTTAGGGTCATGAGATACTTTTTTCATGAAGGGTAATTAAAGAAACATAGTGGTCAATTCGTTCTCTTTTTATTCCAACTATGAAGTCTTACTCCTTTTTCAGGGATGTGAGTATACCGATTGTCATGGAATGGAAGTTAAAACGTATCGATTAACCTTTGTTGTCTTGTGGTCTTCATGGTTCGCCAATATGGTGATAATGATCTTGGAGCCAGCAATTGATTGACACCCTGGAAATAAAAATAATAGATGCATTTGATGATTATACACGTTAACGTTATGTTAAGTTACGGCTGTTTATATATTTACCATGTTTTTTAAAAGTTTCCCAGGAGAAAAGTTGACCTATTTCTTGGTTGTCTTCTTCTGCGTGGCCGTTTTGACATTCGAGCTTTGTCGAGCTTAAAGATATTTTCTATTCTTTGGAAATTTATATGTACTTCTTTCGACTTTGAGGCCGTACTTTCTTTCTACGAACAAAATGTTTTGTATGCAAATTGCCTCTTCAGCAACTTCTTTTAAAATGTAAGTCTTAGTTTAATTTTTCATAGTACTGGATTGTCCCTTAAGGTTGATTTCGAAATAAGTCTTTTATCTTCCTAAAATTAATGAAACATAAGTCACCTAGGAATTCAATTGCGAAGTGGCACATGCACTTACGTTACTTTTTTGTATCACCATGTGGACATCCAGGGTAAACAATTTATTTTTGTCTGTACGAGTTATAGAAAGTCTTATTAAGGAAGTACATGTCCTTCATGACCACGAGAACAATTTCAATTTCGTCGTTAATCAGACAGAAGCATGTTTATTAATGTTTTGATAAGTCGGTTTAAAGGATACTTTATCATTGGCAATATTTTGGTATCTGAAGAATATATATATATATATATAAAAAACCCAGGTAATTTCTAGAAATATGAAAGATTAATAAATCCAGCAGAATGTTCATAAACGTCAACTGAATAGATCATTTATTTCCCATGGCGGTTTAAATATTAAAACACCGCTTTGATGATTTATTGAGAAAAAATATATTCCTCTTGTGGTTGATCTTCATAATTCGTAAACTGAAAACTGTCGTTCCAGAAATGAATAATGGCCTTAATGAAATTATTACCGTACGTACATATTTCACCTTCGTTTACTTTCACGACTAATTCACTCAGATCATTTCGACATTTTGCATGACTGTCATTGTATAACTTTGAGAATTGCCAATTCTAAAAGCACTGATTGAAATTTGCTATCAGTGACGTTAACATACTTTGAAAGGAATACTTTATAAAGGAATATAGAAAAAAATGTACTTGGTCGAGACTCTGTCGAGTTTCATGATTTCGTGTTACAGATGGGTTATCGGATTTTTTGTTAATAAAAGAATAGAGAAAAAAAAAAAAATGTAGTTGGCCAAAATTCTACCGAGTTTCATAACTTCGTGTTCCCGAAGGGTTGTTGGAATTTTTGCAACCGCGTTTACGAGGGTTGTGGGCAGCTCGATAAGGGATAAGCAGGTTGGCGAACGAGCTCAAGATAAATTCGACAGGACGGTGTCTTGCACATCGTCGATGATGTCCTTAAGGCGAACCGGGGGTGGTGGAGAATATTTCCCAGGATGACTCCGCATGTGCCTGGTCAGATTGGATCGCTGCTTGAAGTCTTCCCCGCAAAGTTCGCATTTGTAAGGCCGCGTCCCCATGTGAGTTACCATGTGAGCCCTTCGGTTGCTGACGTTTCTGAAGGTCCTGTTGCAGATGGGGCACACGCAGGGCCCCAATTTCGAGTGTTTCAGGGCCCTGTGATAGGCCAGGTTGTTCTCGTTGGTGAACTCCAGGCCGCAGTCTTCGCAGAATCTATCCGAGTAATCTCTACGGTGCGAGGACGCGCTGCGTGTTATCACCTTCGGGCTCATAACGATAAATCGCTTAGATCTGCGTCCCCGGACCTCGCAGAATTTCCCTGGGAATTCCGAGTCGGCAGAGCTATCCTCCTGGTCTGTCTCCTCTTTTGCTGCTGGCACGTAAACCGACTTTTCACCGAGCTGGACCTTTACGTAAGGCGTGATCCGCAGGGGGTCGTTACGACTCCTGAAACAAGAGGAACGCGTTAGACTTCCTTCACCTGGACCTTCTTCACGTACCGAGTCGCACCTTCCTTTTATAATTGGGATTTTAGGGACGGCATGGTTTCGATAAATAATCCTTACATACGCGCATGTCTTGGAGACGCGTTGATCAAAAAGCACTAAGCACTTCGGATTTCTTTTTTATTCATATCATTTCAGGAAAAACCTGCAGAACGGCATCGATAGATGGGAACATATCATGGAAATGCAGAATGTTGAATTAATTTTTATACATTTATATGATGTTAACTTTAAACCGAATTTTTCTCCGTTAATCAAGGAAATTAATTCACGGTATAGTCGCCATTAAGATCACTGTAATAGGTCTTAATGTACTGCTATACTTAAATCGTTTTTGTTGTTTAATAAAGAAACATACTTTTTTTCTTTTTCGTGTAAGAAGATTAATTCAACAACCCAATATCATTTGCCGTAGTTGTAATTCAATAAATAAAGATGAATTTCAAAATTATTTTGTCAGTGTCACAAGACTTTTTAGCTAGGATAATACTGTAATATATACAGGATGTTCCTAATTTTAATATCAGTAGTTTGAGAACGTGTTGGAGACTAATAAACTACGAGGAAATTCTTATGGGAATTTGTTTCCTTTTTTTTTTTCATTTTTTTTTTTACAGAGAATTAGAAACGAGTAGCAAATCAAAATGTTGCCATTTTTGTTTGCGCAATGTAGGAACTGTTCAAAAAGTCGGCTTTTGTCATTAATTAGACTCCCAATTTGAATATAGTTGCACAGTCATTGTTTCATCGTTATATCGAAAATATTCCGATTTCTTTTGTAAAGGTTCGGATCTCAATTGCCAATTGTTAATTAAACGTATCTCTTGCCAAATTGTATTTTTGTGGAAAGATGAATTCCAAGAGGATCGCTGCCGTTCCTGAAACATGAGGATAAGATTAGTATGAATTTCGATTCTAAGCTTTCATTAATTCAAGGTCCACATTGATTGAGATTCTTGACTCGTTCCGTAATTAATACACTTATTTACAGTTAAGAATACTCGATATATGCCATTTGTTACATTTTTTGCAACAGAGCGCTCGAAAAAAATTATACGAGGTATTAAGATCAATCATTTTGAGAAATTTCCTGCGTATGTTTTGAAACGGTTGCGGAAAAAAATGATTGCAATAAAGAATAACAAAATCAAATATATATGTATGACAAGTTTGAAGAAGTCACTAGTTTTATAACTTCCAGTTCCTGACATGAACTGTACAAAAACAGTATCTCTTAGAGACGATTTCGTAAAACACTACTCGTGCAACATATATTGAAAACGCTATTTACATAAATCATTTATATCTAATCTGTATCTGTATTTTAAATAGTTAAACAATGCGTATGAATTGTCTCAACCGTTGGTACTTCACTTGAGTGACATTCAACTGAACTATTACAATATTGACAAGATTAACATTATACAAACAAGAACTAACGGTAACTGTCTTCATAGCACATTTCTCGAGGGAAATGTAAGTTCTATCACTTGGTTTATCTTTACCACAATCACACTTTAAATAATCGTCATGATAAGGACACTATTAAGAAGTACGAAGAATTGCCATGAAAAGGTGGCTGCAGTTCTCTGATACAAACAGGAGCGATACACAGAAAATACAAGCTCGAGATTGTTATGTTCTTTTTATTCCACTCCTGAAGATTTGTTTCGCCGAAAGTCATTTTTCTTTTTATCGCAAAATCAACACCTTTTGTGTTTAGAATGATTCGTTGGCTATCGTGGCGATTCCGGCAAGGCATCATTAATTCGACAGCATTCATCTTAATCCACCATTTTAATCGAAACTTTTGCAACACTTTTTAGCGAATTCCGCATTCGGGACATCTGACTTTCTGTTTGTGTTCCACAAGATAATCGTCTAGCTTTATGTAGAATTTTTCCACACAGAACACAGGGATATTTGTACCCGGTGATTTGACTTTGTCTCTGATGCTGCTACTTGTGGCTTCCGACATCTCTGATATCTTTACCACACGTTCTTCTCCCTCCGTGAATCCTTCATATATGAAGCAACAAATAGCGCAAAGCATTTATTTCAATGTGTAATTTTTATCAGAATTGTTGCAACATTTTTTTAACGAGTTCCGCAATGGCAGTGTGTGGACGCGTTGGACGTACTGGTGCGGGATGAGACTTTCTGTGTCGATCAGAATTTCTGCAACACTTTTTTAGCAAGTTCTGCAATAGCCGTGGGTGGAGGCGTTAAGTGTAATGATCCAGGACGAGACTTCCTATTTTAATCAGAATTTCTGCAACACTCTTTTAGCAAGTTCCGCAATGGCCGTGGGTGGAGGCGTAGGTGGTAATGGCCCAGGATGAGACTTCCTATGTCTGAGCATCGGCGAGCGTTGAGTGAAGTTTTCGTCGCAAATGTCGCATTTGTACGGTCTGATCCCGGCATGAGTGAGCACGTGCTGGTAGAAATTGCTGCTGGAAGGAAACACCTTCTTGCAGATGGTGCAGATCATGCAGGCAGGGTTATGCTTCAGACGTCTATGATTGGCGAGAGCTTTCGGACTGCGACATTCGACCTCGCACTCGGGACACCTGAATCCTTGTTTGTGCTTCACGAGATGATTGTCCAGCTTCATCTTCGTGTGGAACTTCTTCGCGCAGAGGGAACAGGGATACTTGTAATTGGTAACTCGACTTCGTCTCTGATGCTGCCACTCGTGGTTCCTGACATCTCTGACTTCCTTCCCGCAATAACGACACACGCTTTTCTCCGTCATGTGGGTTCTTCCTATGTGAAGCATCAGGTCGTTTTTAAGCTTGTAGCTTTTCCCGCAGTGGTCGCAAATGTACTTAGATTCGCAGCTGCTGTGCGTCCTGATGCGGTGCTGCTTCAGACCCATCTTGGTCTTGTACTTCAGGTTGCAGACCGAGCACTCCAAGTCTTCGTTTTCGTGACCGATCTTGTGCTTGCCGACCTCTTGAGATGTGCGGAAAGCTCGGTTGCATAGATCGCACTCGAAAGGCTTTCGGTGCTTCATTTTGACATGTTTCTCGACCGTTTGCTCATCCTTCAATCTTTTGCCGCAGAACGGACAAGTGCTTCGAACGCTACTTAGGATCTTATCGACATCCTCCGCTTGAGACTCCGTCTGGCTGCAACCAGTGGAATTGATATCCTGATCTGTTGGTAGGTTTGTTGGTCTGTGGGGTGCCGAGTCCTTCCATAGGGAATATTTCAAAAAGTCGGAGCAGGGGGAAGGGTGAGCTTCTTCAAGAAGGGTTTTCGGCTCTACCACTGAAAGTGGCACCCAAGCTGGTTTCCCGTGGATTTCAATCATCACATAAGGCTGGATTTGAAGTGGATCAGTGCTTGTCCTGGAATTAAGAAAACCCGGTTACTGTTCATCGTGTTTTCATGGGAATCCTTGCACTTGCGTCTTTAGAATTTAACGAGAAAGACCTCGATTTACTGAAACTTGATCGGGATACTTGTGAATTTTTAGATTACGCATAAGGAACGCTTTGCTTTTCTGCCAATTGACATAGTAACAAATGTTTTCATGGAAGGTGCATTTCTCTAGGAACTGGAAGAACAATATTCTTTGGTCTCCGTGATCGTAATAACGTTTTACTCGATTAAAAATCTATATGGGAGGTCGCACTAGAATACACAAAAGAAAACAGATAATACGTAATAAATCTGCTGGACTAAAAACCCTTGATTTGAACATTCCAAATTTCAGTTCCTGGTCGTTAATGTAAATGGAGAGTAAACAATGTTTTTCTGATTCTTGTCAGATAATTCGCTTGTCTCTTACTTAGGGATGTCATTCGATAAGAAGAAGCGGACATTTTGAAATGAAATCTTGAGTTGAACTCTCTTATGCATATATTCTTTTAATTCATATTCAGTGCTGCCTCCTTTGGAAGGTAACTCTCGACGATATACTACATTTGCAGTTCAAGTGTATCATATCTTCAACATATCTATCAGTACTTTTGCAGGAACAGCTTGTTAAGTTTCACGATAATTACTATCAGCAGAGATTGCAGCACAAGAGGAGACGCCGAGATCTCAGTTCTCATCGGCACCAACCGAAGACTCATTGCAGATGTCTCAGATTTCATGGATGTGGGACTTGCTCCCAACATAAGTATCTGCTCGTAGAACTCTTCACCGCTAAGTAGAGACCATTTGCATACGAAGCAGATTACGGACATCATCAATGGTGTTGTTTCTTTGGCCGGACGTCCCTCTGCACTCCAACCAAAATGATCATACAACACTAATTGATCGTCTTTCTTCCTAGACCTTCATCCTATTTTCAGCCCAGAACACCATTTCACGGCTAAGTGAATAATTTACTCCCATCCTTCGTTCACATGCAATATCTTCTATTAACTTTCGACTTTTGGTTACGTAGTTCAGCTTCATACGGCGCTATCACGGATATTCAAAGCGGACTCTTTGCAAGAGAAGATGGCACAGATCGTTCCTATCTGCTTAGGTTTTAGATGCTTGTAGGCTGTGGATCCATTCGGATAGTCGAATGTCATGTCGCAATCGGAGCAATGTACTTCTGTTGGTGCAAGACCACGTCCTTATCGAGCAAGTCCTTACATCGTCCATCGTTCTTATCCAGCTCCGTGCGTGAAGCACTCGCAATCGTCACACTTAATATAGTTTGATTCCTGCATGAGGAAGTTCGTGTCTGTAAAATTTCTTACTGGTGGAGAAGTCATTCTCGAAGGCGGTGCAAATCGTCCTCATCTCCTTTTGTTTCAGTCGCCTATGAGTGGTGTACTCTTGGTTGTCGCACTTCATGTCGCCCTCAAAAAAGACGTATTCTTATTAGTACAAGCCCAAATGGTTGTCGAACTTCAGCTTCTCGCAAGCATCATTTCTTCCATCTTTACCATCTTCCCATCAAAACGATCCGCTCGCGTGACTTCCAATAGCCTACATCGGCTTCGTACTTCGCTATTACGGGTACTTAGATCAGACTCTTTGCAAGAACCACCTGGCAAGTTCGGCGATGGCTATCGGTGGAGGAGAAGGTGGCAAAGGAGCTGGATGAGACCTCCTATGCCTAAGCATGGAGGACCTTTGGGTGAAAACTTCCTCGCAGACGTCACACTTGTAAGGCTTGATCCCAGCATGAGTAAGTACGTGTCTGTAGAAGTTGTTACTGGTAGAGAAGTCCTTCTCGCATATGGTGCAGATCATTCTCATCTGCTTGTGTTTCAGTCGCCTATGAGTGGTGTACTCTTTCGGGTCTACGAACTTCATGTCGCACTCGGAGCAAACGTACTCCTGTTGGTGCTGAACCAGGTGGTTGTCGAGCTTCAATTTCGAGCCGAATTGCTTCTCGCAAAGAGGACAGGAGTACTGCCTCGTGGTACCTCGAAGACGTTCCCTGTGTCGTGCCTCGTGGTTCCTTATGTCCTTAACCATCTTCCCGCAGAAACGACACGCTTGTATGCCGCTCATGTGCGTTCTGCTTATGTGGAGGAACAGATCGTTCTTCAGTTTGTGACGACTACCGCAGTGGTCGCAGGTAAACTTCGGCTCGCTGGTGTTGTGGGCTCTTAGGTGGTGCTGCTTCAGACCCATTATCGTTTTGAACTTTAGATTGCAGATCGAACACTGCACGTAGTCGATGTCGTGAGACCTCCTGTGTTCCTCGAGGCATTGATCGGTGGCGAACGTTCTTCTGCAAAGGTTGCACATGAAGCGCTTTTTGGGCACGGGTCTACTTCGAGTCTTCATCGTTAGTTTTCCCTTGAAGCATCGCTTTGGATTATGACGAGCTTTCGGAGCTTTATCTACATCTTCGCTTTGGTTTTTCGATCTATCCAAGTTGCTTTGGCTTTTATTTGGGGCTCGCTTTCGCTTCGGGTTACTCGAGGCGTCTATGAGTTCGGACATCGGAGGAGCTTCTTTTTGGAGGAAGATGTCTGGCTTTATGTCGATGTACTCGAAATTCGTGACGGTGCACTCGAAATTCGAGGACGCTTTGAAGGAAACTGCGGCTTGGGTTAGGGTTTCCTTCGGGATCCAAGTGGGTTTCTTTCCCTTTCGTGGATGGATACGTAGTGGATCTTCGTTGTTTCTGAAATCAAAAGACGTCGGTTAAATTAGGCCCTAGTCCGGGATCTTCTTTCGATTCAACCAAGGAAATCTTGCACACATGTATTAAACATTTACGATACCGGACAACTTTTATCTAATGCCCTGTTATTGCCTCAAGGAGTTCAAAGTAATGTTACGTATACGGCAGAACAATTGCAACTGAGATCAATGTACTCAATGTTCAAGTAACTACATACGTCGAACACAATATCATCTAGAGATTATTATTAAGATCAGGCGTCGACGATTTTCGGAAAATGTCCTCTTTACCACGCATCGGCATCACTGGTAATAATGCGTACATGAGTAGTACGAAAAATCGTTCTTAAGTTACGTTCGGTTAATCCGTGCGACGAAATTAATAACTAAATTTTTTCTATATACGTTTCTTTTTGGACATGCGCCGAAAACTATCGAATATTTTCCAGTTCTCATTTTTTACCCAGGTTTTTAAATTTCGAAAAAAATGTCTTCTTTACCACGCATTCGTAATAACGTGTATATGAAGAGCAATATGAAGAATTGCGAAAACAAGCAGTGTTACGAATGTAACAAGTAAACGCATCGGAAAATCGTGAAACATTTTCCGAAGCGTTGATTTTTTTTGCGCAGCTTTTCAAATTTCGGAAAAAATGTCCTCTTTACCACGCATTGGCATCACTGGTAATAATGCGTATACGAAGAACAATACGGAAAATTTCACAATTCCGTTTTCACAAATAAACTTATTGAATCACGTTCTATTAATCTTTGTTACGCATGTAACAACTAGAAGTATCTATACGTTTCTTTGGGTATTCACGGTAAACTATTTTCATTTTTTACATAGGTTTCCACGGGGTGACAAATGGGAACGTGTGAAAATTAGGCGACTCTACTTCCTGTGTATGTGACTGTGCGTGTGTATAGATGACTTTTGTGAAAAATATTAAAAAAACAATTGCAATTAAGATAAATGTTCTCTTGGTCGAAAACGTCAGAATTCGGCAAAAGAAAAAATTTACAGAAGCGTTTCTTAATATCTCGAGAAACGTAACAAATTTACATAGTGGGGAGCGAAAGCAGACCCGAGTATCCAAACATTAACATAAAGATTAAAGGAATTGTTTTTAAAATATTTAAATGTGTTAAGCCAAAATCATTGTATACCGTAAGAAAATTGCCATTTTTCAAATATTCAGCAATTATATCCTTTTTCGATCCCTGTACCCGTTTAGGAACAATAGTTAATTACTTTTCCCGCGTTTCCATTTGTCCCTTGGAAATTTCCGATAAAAGGTCCTTTTCATCGGCAACTCCTATAGAATCGGTACCACTTCTTCCTTAACTTGGAATTCCCGAGTTCTCGCCTAGAATCCATATCTTCGAACACTTTGCAACCAGCAACATACTTTGTCAGGATATCACAGGCGACTCGATCAGAATATTTGCAGGATCCCTTTAGCAAGTTGAGCAATGGGTACAGGGGGTGGCGTGGGAGGAAGCGGCACAGGATGAGTCTTCCTATGCTTCAGCATGGAAGTGCGATGACTGAAGACGTCTTTACAAATGTCGCATTTGTACGGTTTGATCCCCGCATGGGTGAGAACGTGTTGGTAAAAATTATTCCGCAGAGGATAAACCTTCTGACAAATGGTGCACGTGAAAGGGCCCGATCTGTGCTCCAGCCGTCTGTGTCGGGACATCGTCTTCACGTCCTGGAACGTCAAATCGCATTTAGGGCACTGCAGCTCCTGGTTCGGGGTCTGCATGTGCAAGCTTATGTGGTTGTCGAGCTTTATCTGGGACCAGAACGTTTTCCCGCAAAGCGAACACGTTAGTTGGCCATCGGTGCCCTTAAGACGCTGTCTGTGTCGCGCCTCGTGATTCTTCAGGTCCTTCAACTTCCTGCCGCAGAAACGACACGTGCCGATGACGGACATGTGAGTTCTCTGAATGTGGAGGAACAAATCGTTCTTCAGCTTAAACCTATTCCCACAATGATCGCAGATGAACTTCGGCTCCATGGTGTTATGGGCTCGGATGTAGTGTTGCTTCAGACCTAGCAGAGACTTCAGCTTCAAGTCGCAAAGCGTGCACTGCAGGAAGTCCACGCCGTGGATCTTTCGGTGCTCTTCGAGTTCCTCTTCCGTTGCGAAGCTTCGTCTGCAAAGTCTGCACAAGGAGCGCTTCTTCAGCTTCTGTTCGGTCTCGTGGGCACGGATGCGGTGCTGCTTCAAGCCTAGTAACGACTTGAAGTGAAGGCCGCAGATCGAGCACTCCACGTAATCATTTTTGTGGGTTTTCTTGTGCTCTTCGCGCTCATCGACGGTTTTAAAAGTTCGCGTGCAAAGTCCGCAGGCGAAACGTTTCTTCCGCTCCAGATTGGCGTACTCTCCAGCTCCCAATTCTTTCGCTAGGGTCTCTATGTTGCAGGTGTTGTTCAACATATCGTTTATTTCTTTACTTTGGCCTTCTTTTTGCCCAAAGATGCCGGATGTTGGGTCTCTTCTCTCGATCTTCATTGCCTCCAAGGAAGTACCAGCCCTCTCGGAATCGTCGTCGACGTTTTCGGTGTCCTCGTCTCTCCTTGCGGAATCGGATGAGGTCGTCCTCTTCATCTCGGTGTTCTCTTCTGTCCTCGCGGAATCGGATGGGTTTGTCCTCTTCATCTTGGTGTCCTCTTCTCTCCTCGCGGAATCGGATGAGTTCGTCCTCTTCATCTCGGTGTCCTCGTCTCTCCTTGTGGAATCGGATGAGTGTGTCCTCTTCATCTCGATGTCCTCGTCTCTTCTCGCGGAATCGGATGGCTTCGTCCTCTTCATCTCGAAATTGGCTAGCAGCTCAAGAGGAGCATCGATCGCGTGCGAATCGCGGAAACTCTTCAAGTTGATCTTCAGTTCATAATTGTCGTGCATTCGCGCGTGGTGCTTCGTCAAGCCTATCCTTGTTCTGAACTGCAAGCCGCACACCGAACATGGAATGTAATCTGCTTCGTGAATCTTCTTGTGTTCGTTGCGTTTTTGGGCCGAGGAGAAAGACGACATGCAAAGTTGGCAAGGAAAGCTCCTCCGATTGATCTTCCTTTCCTGACTGAGATCCCTCGTCTGATCGTTCTTTCTCTCCTGTTTAAGATCGCTCATCTGATCGTTCCGTCCTTCTTGACTAAAATCCCTCTTCCGATTGTTTCCTTCCTGACCAAGATCGACTTTCTGATCGTTCTTTCTTTCCTGACTAAGCTCGTATTTCGGAGTCTTCTTTCTTTTCCGAAACTCAACGCAATTGATCTTCGACGGGGTTCCTTTTGGGGCCAGATGTATTCTTTGGATATGGAGAAGCAGTTCCGATTTTTTGGTTCTATGCTGTTGACAGTAATCACAGGTAAAGAAATGCTTCTCCCGTTTGTGAGTCGCCAGATCCTTCAGCTCCGCAAAGTGTTCGCCACACTTGAGGCACGTGGTGCCCCACTTGTGCTTCAACAGGTGGTTCTCCAGTCTAATCTTCGAGAAGAACTTCAAGTTACACAGGTGGCAGGGGAACTTGATCTGCCCTTCGTGTTGCTCATGATGGGCACGTTCGTGTCTGCGGAGGTGCCAGACCTCCTTCCCACAGTAGCTGCACACTTTGCTGCTGCTGAGGTGCTTCCTGAAGATGTGAGGAGTCAAGTCGCCCTTGAGTTTGAAGCGAGCACCGCAGTAATCGCACTCGAACTTCGGCTGGGAACAGCTATGAGCTCGCACATGGTGCTGCTGGAGACCCAGCTTGGTCTTGTACTTCAAGTTGCAGATCGAGCACTGGAGGTAGTCCAGGGCGTGCGTCTTCTTGTGCTCCTCCAGGACGTCCTTATAATGGAAGTCCTTCGAGCAAATGTTGCATCTGTAGTACTTCAAGGGTACTTTAAGATCCTTATGACGACTCAATCGGCTCTGCAGCGAGATTTCGGCCCCGTAGCTGGTGTGGTGCCGGACGAAGTGGTGCTTCATCGAGGACTTCGTCTTAAACTGAAGCTTGCAGATCTCGCACTCCACGGGCCCCCTGTCGTGCAAGCACTTGTGCATCCTCAGACAGTACGCGTTGGAGAAGCTTCTCACGCAAACGGTGCACTTGAAGCGCTTCGACTTCTTCAACTTCTCCTCGCGTTCTTGCAGCATCTCAGCGTAGCGGATACTTCTCAGGTTGAACCCCGGCTCCTGGCCCTTGTGGACCCAGTCGTAATGTCGCTGTACCCCTCGGATGGACTGGAACCGGGCCTTGCACATTTTGCACTCGACGAACCCCACGTCGTGGAGCTTCCTGTGCCTCTCGAGGAACATCTCGGTGGTGAACTTCTTTCCGCAGAAGGTGCAGGGGAATCTTGGAATCTTCTTGGGCATCGACTGGTTGGTCCCCAGGTCGGGTTCCTCGTTGAAAAACGACCGACGTTTTGGGGTGCGAAGGGTCATCGGTGATTTCCCTACTTCTGTAAGGTGGGTCTTCGCCCTACGTGGGGTGGACCCTTTGCCCTGGGGATTTTTGGAAGCTTGCAACGAGGCTGCCGCTAAAGCTCTCTTCAACTCCGTAATACTCGGCTTGGTGTCCGTGTACTCGATAGTCGTTGATAGATATGGCGGAATACTCAATGCATCTTCGACCAGGCCGCTTCCGTGTCCTAATCGTGTCCAGGTGTATCTTCCACCGTATTCGATCAGAGAGTATGGGTGGCAGTCAAGCGGATCTTCATTTCTGAAATCAAAAGAGATCCGTTAATTTGAGTTCGACGAGAGCTCTCTCTCTTATTTGGATTTATTAGTCATTTAAACTCAGCTTTTCGAGAGAAATTCAATGATGGCGAGTAGGAGGATATGGAGCAGTGGCTAACGTGAATGTTTTCATGTTTACGGCGATGTAAAACCCTTAAACGAATTGATTCGTATGAAACACTTTTTTTTAAGGGTGTTCTATCGACTGACTATTTCATTTTTTTATAATCTTTATAATAGCAGTAATTATATACTACAGGGGAATCTGTTTTGCTTGTTTGATTTTGTTTATAACCTCTTAAAGTCATAATCTAAACAATACCGTCAAAAGTAATGGTTATTTTTCTTACACCTTTTACTGCAAAACAAATCAGACCCGTAGAATTGGAATCTCTGTTCAGAGGGTGCTGTTTATAAAACACTATTATTGCTATAAAATAGTGCCTAGTGGACATGCTTACGAGTATTCTGAAGGCTATTCTTATTCAAAGAATTAAAATTCCAGTAATGTAATTTCCTATTTCGACGTGCAGCTTCGTTGATCATTTCCTAAGGAAATAATTAATTTACAACTTATTAACTTAAGGAAGATCACAATGCAGCGTTGAATGATAAAATCGCAGTCTTTTCGTAAGAAAAATAATTTATTAAAATCGTAGAATGGAATTATTTGTTTATCCTTCTTTGATTGAAAGAAGTGCACAGATTATTGATCTGTACTAAGAGTACGGAAATGTGAACCTTGAAAATTTCAACAGAAACATCAGGGTCTATATTCTCGTCGACCACAATTGTCATCTTTGTAAAGAAAAGAATTAGAAAATAAAAAACGTAATCTTACATTTTCAAAGATACAACTACTGGAAAGAGGCGACTTGGAAACTTCGCGTCTATTCAGTCTAAACATTCTGGTAATTCGGTGAGTACATTACAGAAATATTTTACACACATTTGTAGAAACTCTCTGTGATTTCAACACCTTACAGTAATCCTTCGGAATAGTGCGAAGCTTTGTACTTTATCGTGGGGTTGCGCTGCAACACATATCTCTTTTACACAACAAAGTCCAGAGTGACAACAAAAAGAAATCCTTAAAGTCGATTCCTCCCGCAAAATGGGAAAAAATGATGAACAAATTCTAAGTGAAATAAGAATGAAAGGATCGCTACTTTGAACAGTTGAGATTTCTCAAGATTTATAAGGTTAGCTCGAACGTTCAAGAATTAACATTTCAAGGAACACCCTGTTCGGTTCTAGTTAAACCCCCTAAAAAAAAAAATAAAAATAAAAATGATAGGCACCCAGCTGTAAGATCCCCTTATAAGTTCACCTCAAAGCTCTTGTAAGAGGAGTCGACTTTAGCCACTTAACATTCTTTACTATTTTCTTTCGAATTATTTTCATATTCTCGCAGAACGGTCTTAGCGAGCTCGGAAAGAGGCGCTGGGGGTGGAGGGCACTGTTGAGGTCCATGTTCCTTGTCTCTGTGGTTCAACAGTTTGTTCCGGCGGTTGAAGTCCGCGTTGCAAATATCGCACTTATATGCTCTCAGCTTCGAGTGAGTGAGTATATGCTTGTGCAAGCTGGTAGTCGAAAGTAGGATTTTCTCGCAGATGATGCATCTTAAAGAGGCCACATTGTGGCTAAGCTTGTGTCGTCTCAGCTTGATGGAGTTCGGGAACTCTAGATCACACAGGAGACACCTAAATCCCTGGTCGTGTCTTACCAGATGCTTGTTAAGATTGAACTTCGAGGTGAAGTTCAGTCGACACAAGGAACAAGTGTACTTCCTCTTGGGGTTCTGCACCTTCTGCCGCCTGTGATAAGACGTGTGGCTCTTCAGGTCGGTGACGCTTTTCCCACACACCCGACACAGGGTGAAGTCCATATGCGTCCTGCAAATGTGGACCAGAAGACTGCGTTTCAGCTGGTAGATCTTTCCGCAGTAATCGCAGGTGAATGTGGGCACGTCCCTTATCCGATGCTTTCTAAGCGTGTGGTATTCTAAGCCCACCTTCGTCCTGTACTGCAGATTGCAAATTGGGCACTTCAGCTCGTCACGACCATGAAGGGTTCTGTGTCGTTCCAGGATCTGAAGCGAAGGGAAGATCCTTAAACACATTCCGCACCTGTGGACCTTTCCGTGCTTCGATCTGATGTGCATCTCCACGGAGTACATGTTCCGGAAGCGTTTCTTGCAGACGGAGCAGGTTTTCTCGGAATTCACCGTGCAAACGTCAGTCGGGTTCTCTTGATATTGATCTACGATTATTGGCTTTACGTCGATGCACTCGAAAATCGAGGAAACGCCGGAATTGACGGTAAAAGTGTCGTCTAAGTTGCAAGGGTTTGGTCCGGTGTTGGTGGTTCCTATCTCCGTTGGGTTTGGTTTGGTGCTCATGGACTCCTTCTCCATTGTCGCAGATGACTTGATCGAAACCCTTTCTTCTTTGCAAGTACTCGTAATTGAGTTATCCCATGTAGAGTTCCAATGAATGGTTTTCAATTTTCCATATAAACTTTCTGGAACACATATGTAGTCACCTATGGCGTTTAATTGCGAGAGACGTATCCAGGCAGGTTTTCCGTTCAAGTTGATCTGCACGTAAGGCTCCAGACGAAGGGGATCTCCGCCGTTCCTGGAAAGAAAATACTTTTGTTAATCTAGGTTTGATTATCCACGGGAATATTTTGTACCTACGTTTTTTTTAATATCTGGTCTCGGTACTTTTCTCTATACGAGGCGGTAAAGCAACGTCGAAACATTGCCGTTGCCATACAAGTCACACATCACGCTAAAAGAGCGGTTCTGTGAAAACCTGCCTCCTGGTTTTCGAAGCCATTTTCCTTTATTTATTGTTTTATTTTAGCGGGCAGTTTGCCTCTTTGCGAACAAAAGTCCCTTATCGAGTGCTTTGCGTGCAGGAGGCTGCATACAACTCGTGCAACATCTTTTCCTTTACGCTGTATTACGGTTCAGGAAATCGAAGGAAATTTGGTCATTTCGAAGGACGAATATTTTCCAAGCCTCGGAAGCACGGGATGAGTTTTTTGCACCATAGAAGCAGTCCAATAAAATTGGAATCAAGTTCATCACTCGAGAACAATTGTGTGCGTTTAAGCTAATAACCCTGATCTTAATATCATTTCTTTCGTTTATATTACAAGACTTAAGACGTTTTTATTCTATTCGTATGATGAAAAATCGATACAGGACACATGTCACGTATCGTTCCATTTTCGAAAGATTAATGTACAATAGGGCGTAACATAAACGTTTAAAATAACATTACATGAAATAACTCAAAGGCGATTATGTCACAAAACTCAAATTTCGAAACTGTTCGAAAAATCTGACAAATTAGAATACATGTGACTGAATGTATAGGATTTTCCCAACAGCGATAGAACCTTGAATGGTCACAGCCTCCATGTTTGTTATTTAATGATCAGAGTCAGGTGGCATTTTTATTCGGTAGCTTTTTGCAAGCCACCGCGGATAAATATACAGTTCTTCAACGCGTTGATATGATTAAAATTTATTATAACAATCCTTGCCTAATTTGAACGTTTCGTGCACTTTATTCGATGTATAATTAAGTTATGATCCTAATCTTGCGACTAGACGCCATTAGACTTCTTTTGACACGGCCATGTTAAATCTCTCGTTTATTCCGACAAATCACAATCCGTTGACGATCTCAAGGCAAAGATCAATCGTGTTATGGATGAAATTCCTTTTCATCGACATCGTATCTCATGCACAATGCCATCAACAGTAGTTCGAAATAGAACACTTAGCACCCGATTATAATTTCCATATTATTCCATAACATTTTAATTCAACGTCCCATCGCTATTGTCGGAAAGCCTTGTACTTGTGCGCCCCCTCAAGAATGTTACAAAATCAATGTTGATCGTTCCTTTGGTACTTTCCTAAAAGTCTTTCGACCGTTCTTCGAGCTCTGCGAGCTCAATAAGAGTCTGCGGAAAATGTGGAGTTTAGGGGCCACCCACCTCCGAAGACCTTGACATTGACATATGTCGGCAAGGCCACCCTTCTGACTGACCTCCGCAAGTTTTTAGCCGTCGCCTGTTGTTCGTTTGCTCGTTTCTCATTGCTGAACATACATCTAAAGACTCCTACATTACTGCAAGTAAATGGCCGAGTTCTAACTATTGACCTAACCTAAGCCCACATTGACTCAAACTAATAAATCCAAATACTAGAAACACGATATAAAAAAGTTAAACATACGTTAATATTTTCAACATTATTAAAAGGAATTAATTTGAGTCAATTTGGGTTTCGGTTGGATCAGTAGGTAGAATCCAGCCATCTCCAAGCCACAACTACATCAGATTCTAATTCACTTAATGATATTTCATTGTCATCGTCTCATTCTATTGTCGTGTAAACGCATTTTGAAATGCTGTAGGACTCTTCCTTTGGAATCACGCGCGTAATGACAGGATCTTCACGAGAAAAATGAAAGCAGAATAGTAAGTGCATGATCACTGGGAGACATCAATGCCCTCCCATCCTGCATAGGCGATGCCGTATCTGCAGGGGAGGGATTCGTGTCCGCCACTGAACATTTGTATATAACGTGTATATCCCAGTTTATGAGTCTTCAATTGTACCCCCAGGGTTGAGAACATGTGTTCAACTAATAAAAATGATTTTCTTAACAACTTCTTAACAAACAACGAGCGAAGGACCTTGTGGAGTTGATCTTGACGTATGTTGGCCCTGCCAACATACGTCAAGATCAGGATCATATCGAAGGTAGGTCCCTTAAATCCCAGATTTACCGAGTCTGCAATTGGCAATCTTATCGGAGGGATTCTAATCAGACTCTTCCATGTAGGAAACAGCGTTCATGGATCGCATGGAGCGCTTGAGGGGGGGCGGCCTGTGTTTCTTTTTTCTGTGCATCGTCAGAGTCCAGGAGTTCTCGTAAACCCTGCCACAATCTAGAC